AAGGGGATTTTCCCCACACAAAGTTAGGCAAGCTACTTACCTCGAACCAAACTCAATCAATCGGTAAGAATGCCTTTTCTACGAATATCCAACTCTGAATGGTTTGAATCTAGCCAAAAATAATTCGATACAGTCAACAAAATTATAGGAATCAATTTCATAAGAAAATACAATATTTTTAATTAAAAAATAATCCAAAATTAACTCAAAAATTGCCCATGGGGCCCACATCTCGGTATCCGGTGAAACTTATAAAATCCGACAACCCATTCAATTACGAGTCCAATCATACCAGTTTCACTCAAATCTGACTTCGAATCGACACCGAAATCTCAAAAAAAATTATTTCTATGAGATTTCTAAAATTTTCCCAAATTTCCATCTCAATACACTAATTAAATGGTGAAAACAAATGATATATTCGTATATATTGACCAAATCCAAGTTAGAATCACTTACCCAAATATTTTTCCTTGAAAATCTATCAAAAATCACCTCTCATCAAGCTCCAATTCGTCAAAAATGGCACAGGGGACGAAGTCCCCTATTTTATAATTCTGTCCAGGCAGCCCTCGGTCCTGCTTCGATCCTGGACCTCGATCAAGGCTTTGATCATGGCCCTCGATCCTGACCTTCGATCCTGGGCATCGATCATAGCTTCGATCCTGGCCTTCGATCATGGACCTCGATCCTGAGCCTCGACCCTGCCTTCGATCCTAGCCCTCGACCCTGGCCTTCGATCCTGGCCCTCGACCCTGGCCTTCGACCCTAGGCTCGACTTCTGGGCTTCGATCCTGGGCTCAATTTCTGGGCTTCGATCCTGGGCTCAATTTTCTATATTTCCAGCAGAAGAAATTGCAGCTGTTTAAGTCCAACTTTTGATCCGTTAACCATCCGAAATTCACCCGAGGCCCTCGGGACCTCAACCAAAAATACCAACAAGTCCTAAAACATCTTACAAACTTATTTGAAACCTCAAATCACATCAAACAACGCTAAAATCATAATTCACATCCCAATTCAAGCTTAATGAAATTTAAGAATTTTCAACTTCTACATTCGATGTCGAAACCTATCAAATCAGGTCCGATTGACCTCAAATTTTGCACACAAGTCATAAATAATATAACAGAGCTATAAAAATTTTCGGAACTGGATTCCGACCCCGATATTAAAAAGTCAACTCCCCGGCCAAACTTCCAAATTTAAATTCCTATTTTAGCCATTTCAAGCCTAACTGAACTACAGACCTCCAAAACAAAAATCCGGACACGCCCCTAAACTCAAAATCACCTAATGGAGCTAACGGAACCGACGGAATTCCATTCAGGAGTACAGAACCGATGAAATTCCATTCAGGAGTCTTCTTCATACAGTTCCGACTACGGTCCAAATCCTAAGGCTTAAACCTCCATTTAGGGACTAAGTGTCCCAAAATACTCCAAAAACCAAAACGAAACCTCCCGGTAAGTCAAAATAGCGGAAAAAGATATGGGAGAAGTAGTAAATAGGAGATAGGGGCTATTACTCTCAAAACGACCGACCAGGTCGTTACAATTATTTTGATTCCGTCGGAGGCATCTACAAAGAATAATCTCGTTATACCAGAGTCGACTCTTTATAATATAGTCTTGAAAGCTTGTTCTTGATTAGGATTTAGTTTTGATTGTGCTTCCTCAAACACTTGTATAGCATTTTGATTCTTAATAATACACTAACATTTTTACTTTGTGTTCTAATGCTCTTTTTAAGAAATAAATTTATGTACCCTAAGATCTTTGTTTTTACTTGAATAAGAATTTTACTCATATGATGAATTTGAAAAAAAATTGAATTGGATTCCCAATTGATTAAAAGATTTAATTATTTGGGTTTAACATAAAAAATAATTTATTCTATATTGATTCAGATCTTAATATTAATTCATCTCTTGTTTTGAATATTTAATCTTAATTATAATTTTATCCACCATTTATATTCTTAAATATTTCACACATTTATATTCTTAAATATTTTTTTAATTGTTTTTTAATAATTGGTTATGTTTTAATATTACACAAAAAATTGATAAAAAATATTATTTTAGTAAGAAAATAGTTTAAATATAATATAAAAATATATTTTTGTGGGGGTATTTTTTATTCTCAATTTCAACTCTTTATGTAGTCCATTTAATATTACTTTTATTTTTTCTTGATTGGACATTATGGAGTGATAATGTATTGCCAATACGCATGATTCTTACGAAATTGATTTTATTAAACCCTCCTACATATTTTTAATAAGAATTTAATAGATAAAATTTTATTAATTTTAAATATTATAGATTAGCATAGAAGGTATTATAGTCCAAAAAATAGTTTAGTGCAGTTATGTCCTTTCCCTATGAGTTCTTCCACTTAATATTTTAGGGCTATTTTTGGTATATTAATATTGTATTTATGCTTTTATAACAATATAGACTATCCTTTTCTAAATGAATTTGAACAATATAATACATTCTCAAATTAAATTAGTAATAGGACATTATAATACGTTTTCAAATTAAATTAGTAATAGAAATTTTTAAGAAGTATATCTTAAAAGTAATAGGATTACATGACTAAAGATATTTACTTGTTCAATTTTATATGAATTAGACAGCCCGAACATAATTATACTAATAGGATTCCTAATGGTAATCATGTAGGATTCCTAACGTGTATTATTATGTCCTAAAACTAATAAGATTTTAAGGCTAATATCTAGAACGCCAGTCATGTTCTTTTATTATGAGTTATTATGCTTAATATTATAAGGTTATTTTTGTAAACCGACATTGTATTCATGCTTTTATAATAATATAGATTATTGTCTCTATATCTTTTTGTACATCTTAAATATAAAATTATAAATATACTTGTTTAAAATTTATTGTTATCTCTATATCAATGTATATCACGTTAAAAATAATTTTATTGTTTGTATATCACCATGTATAATACATCAAATAATGTGTTTTCTTTGTATATCTAAAATATGAAATATAAATATAGTTGTTTAAAATTTATTGTTATCTCTGTATTTATTTTTCCAAATCTCAATTTCAAATCATTCCCATATCTCAGTTTCAAATACACCTCATGGAAATTATTTTCGTCCATCAAGAAGAAGTGATATACTGCAAGAATCTCAACATGTGTTCAATGCATGTGTTGTTATTGATATTTGCACTTATTGTAATAGTTTATTCTAAATCCGACATTGAAGTTAAGATCTTCTGAAGACGGAGATTCCGAAAAACCTAATTCGACGAAGTGTTTATTATTCTATTAATGTCGCCACCACTTGATTCTAGATTTTCAATTTGGATCCTCCCTTTTTTGTACTTGATTTTGGGGCTGTTGATTTATGCGGGGGAGGGGGTGACGTTGCAGCAGCTCCGCCATTGCCATTAGAGTGAAAATTTTCTCTCAAGTATTTTTGGTGAACGTTAGAGTGAAAATTCTTTCGTAGATTGGAGTATGGGAGAGAAAAAGAGAAAAAGATTGAAGAAGAAATATGAGAAGAAGTAAGGGAAGAGAGAATAAATAAGGAACTGGGGGTTTTTATTAGAATTTGGTTATATAATACCAATTATTTTGAAGATGTCTTTCCCAAATTTAATATGGCTAAAAAATTGTCAATTCTCTTTATACGTTATCATACCATGCTATTTTTCCAAATAAAAAAAGGGAAAGGACAGAAAGGAAGATCGGGGCTTAGGGGGAAGGGCTGCAAACAAAGGGTTAATTGGGCCGAGAACTCATCCCACTTGACAGGTCTAGCCCTATACAACTAACCATGTGTTGTATCACATGGTTAGTTGGTCTATGGTTTAGTGGTGAACACTCTCCACTTCCAACCAAGAGGTTATGAGTTCGAGTCATCCCAAGAGCAAGGTGGAAAGTTCTTGGAGGGAGGGAACCGAGGGCCTATCGGAAACAGCCCCTCTGTCCTAGGGTAGAGATAAGGTCTGCGTACACACTACCCTCCCCATACCTCACTAGTGAGATTATACTGGGTTGTTGTTGTAATTTTGAAAAAAAAATTAAAGTTCCTAGTTAGAGGAGAGAAAATATTTTCCGAAACTATCTAAATGATGGTTTCAACCCTCAGCGCCCTCCTATCCATTATATCATTAAAGCCACTAGTCTACCTCGCGTATTATTAAATTCACTGAACTATAGTAATTTTTTAGAAAACAAAGCTCACTTGAAAGTTATATATTCGGCATGGAAAATGACATGTTGTCACTAACATGAACTATTTTGCGTTAGAGCGTAAAATATTTTAGTGTTTCCTTTTTAATTTTTTTAAAAATAATTTATGGTTAAGACAAGCTGCAATTTTTTAAATTTGTTGATGTGGCAATTACGCATCACTTTTGTAATGATTTTGAAAAATAACTGTGAGTTTACTGATACAAAGGGCAAGTTCACAACATGAAATGCTAACGACTTCCCCCGAAAGAGATTTTAGGTGCCATCTAGAGGACTACAAATTTTGTTTAGTATCCGTTCGACCAATTTTAACATACTGTAAGAGTTATCGAAGTATGACCAGAAGGACATATGTTTAAAATGTGAAAACAAATTGTTGCATAAATATAAATATAAAGTGAAATTGCATATAATAGATCCAATACTGTTGGGCTCTTTCCCCCCCCCCCCCCCC